AACTCACTTCCCAGAGACAACAGACATGCCCCAATTCTGGCAGTCTTTAAGAGGAGCTTGAAAACATGGTTGTTCCAGTGTGCTTTCCCAGAATAAGGAAAACTCTCAGCATCATGTCCTCAAAATGCACTTTACTAGGATTAGGATTGCCTTAGGATTGACTGCATTCCCTCATTCTCTCTAAAAATCCTATCCCAATTATATCCTACCTGGTTCACATCAGCACTATTTTTTAATTTTAATCTATCACATTGGGCCCGGCTTTTGGTTTTAAATGTTTATGTGTTACTGTTGATTGCTTTTGTCTATTTTGTTCGTGTGATTATGATTTATATTGCATTGTTTGTTTATTGATGTTTTATTTTATTGATGTTCTGTTTATTGATGTATTGCCGGCTTGGCCTCATGTAAGCCGCACCGAATCCCCTGGGGAGATGGTAGCAGGGTACAAATAAAGTATTATTATTATTATTATTATTATTATTATTATTATTATTATTGGTGGATTGTTGTCTCTGCAAAGCCAAATAATAATAATAATAATAATAATAATAATAATAATAATAATTCTTTATTTATATTCCGCTCTACCTCCCCAAAGGGACAAACAACCCAAGATTTGCTTTCATAACGAAGTATGCAGATTATCAGAGGGATTTGTCAGAAAGCTCAAAATCTTACCACAGTTAAATTATACTGTAGGTGTGATTAATATTCTCTGTAATTTTTATTACCGCTGGGTAAAGTGACAGCTATTAAAGCTACATCATATTTTCTCCTGAAGAGAAAGTTTGATATTTTTAGAGACAGGGAGTGAAAATCACATTAATTTTTTTACTAGCAACTATTTCTGTCTTCTCTTTTAATTAACTTATATTTCAACTAGCTTTGTGTGTCGGAACAAATCAGAGTGCTGTGGGCACAAGCAGTAAACCAGCCATAATCAGGGATTACTTCTTTGTCTTGACAGGACTCAGATAAACTAAAATGCTGGGTTTAAATGTCACCAAATGGGTGGAAGGTCTGAAGATTGTTTAGCTGCTCCTACTTGGAGTGGGAACACTGGGTTGTGTCTATGAACACCGCCTCAGTTACAGTGAATGAATATTATCAGGACTTTGGGTTTTTGATGATCTCCGAATGTACCCCCCAAAACTAACTCTGTCTTCTAATAGCACTGTTCAATGGAGAAAAAGTTGCGGGCCTGAAAATAGTTGTTCTTTTATGATTTTGGGGTGCTGAAAACAAAAATGACATTTAAAAATGTATAGTGGCTCTAGTTTTTATGATATAAGCAATCACGTGATCACGTATGGTTGAAAAAATGCATGTTGCGACTTACACTATGGAAGATTCTAGAAAGTTGTGGGCCTGAAAATAGCTGTTCTTTTATGATTTTGGGGTGCTGAAAACGAAAATTATTATTAAACTTTATTAAACTTTATTTGTACCCCGCTAGCATCTCCCGAAGGACTCGATGCGGCTTACAAAGGCCAAGGCCTCAATACACAACATAACAATACACCTAAAGCAAATTAAAACAATTAAAGCAGTATTAAAAACAACAAAACAACAAGCAACAAACAATACATCGAAACATGATAAAACTGGGCCGGGCCAGAGTAAAGGGTACAGGATTAAAAGTACTGATGTGACAGGTGATATGTAGGGATTATGGGGCAAGTGCAGTGTGAAGTGTGCGGCAGTCTTAATTCTAATAAAATGACATTTAAAAATGTATATTGGCTCTAGTTTTTATGATATAAGCAATCACGTGATCACGTATGGTTGAAAAAATGCATGTTGCGACTTACACTATGGAAGATTCTAGAATATTCTAGAAAGTTTGATGACGCAGTATTAGTGCCGTGTGCAAAAGCCAGAAAGCCCTATATAAGGCCAGACTTTTGAACGGTGAGGGTCAGTCAGTTGAAGACTGAGACATCGTTTTACATTGTTCTTTCTACTGTAGTTCTGCCTCCTCGCACGTGCGTCAATAAAGCACGATGGAAAAAAGATATCAAGGCCAATGGACTCTGTCAATGCTGTCAGACTCCTGCTGGAGCATTGCAAGAGACCATCCTTTCCTTGAATACAAAAGAAAAGTCAAGAGAAGCAAACAGGATATAAACTAAAGTCACGATTAAAGCGACATTTAAACTTTCAGACTTTTCAACTGCATTAGGCCTACTAATATAGTTTCTTGCTGCACAAACATAAACAATAGACTAATTAAATAAATATTTCTCATGTATAAACTATTGGCAATATAATTTGACTAAAATTTAGTAAATATTCACGGTTTATATACATGCAGTAAGGTTAGGCGCATTATCATAATATTAACGAATTACCTATTGTGGAGAAAATGGAAATAGCTGTTGCATAAAAACCAGAGCCAATTAACACATTTAATTATTATTATATTTGAATTCAGCATGTTAAATTTATTAAGAAACGGCACATTTCGTTTCCGCAACTGAGAAAAACCGAAAATTTGTAGAACAGTGATAGTGAGAAAAGTTTTCTGTATATATAATACACAAAACAGACTTGGTTAAGTTAGTTTGATTATATGTGATACAGTGTTTTCTGAGTTGTATGTACTTCCAAGTATCAAAAATATTGTGTACAGTTTGTAGAACAGAGACAGATTATTTTCAGAGATCCAGTTGTTATCAATATAGGACAAAAGTCATGATAGTTTTAAATATTTAGTAATTCCTTTATTTTTATTTACAAAGCCATAGCTGCCAAATTACTAACTGGAGCTCACTATAGGGAACATACTATTCCCCTATTAAAGCAGCTTCATTGTCTTCCAACAGTTTTCTGGGCACAATTCAAGGTGCAGGTTATTACCTACAAAGCCCTATATACTTTGGGCGCAGCCTATTTTCGAGACCACATCTTTTTCTATGAACCGGCGCTGGCTTTGAGATCAGCAGGGAGGCCCTTCTCTCAGTCCCACCACTCTGTCAAGTGCGATTGGTGGGGATGAGAGAGAGGGCCTTCTCTGTTGTGGCTCCCCTGCTCTGAAATACCCTCCCAAAAGAGATTAGATTACTCCCACCTTTGAATCCTTTGTGTGTGTATATGTGTGTATATATATTTGTGTGTGTGTATATATATATGTGTGTGTGGTTTGCGTATGTGCTGTAATGTATTTTTTTTTTTTGGCTTTTTAAGTGTTTTCTGCTATGTTTTTCAATGTTTTTATGAGTGATGGTCACTCGTTGGCCTGAGAGGGGAATTGTGGCCAAATTTGGTGCCAATTTGCCCAGTGGTTTTTTACTTATGTTAATCCCACAAATGAACATCACACACACACACACATACTTATTTACTTAGGCAATCCCTCGTTGTTTGAGTAGAGTACTCTTCCAGGATCAGTGTACTGGCAATGGGTTCGTAGGTGACTGTGGAGCCCTCTTCTTGACCTGCATGTTTTCCTGCAGTGAGGGCATCAGTTTCCAGGTGGAAGGTGGTCCCGATTGGGGTTGGCTTGACATGCCTTCCTCTTGGCACATTTCTCTCTTTCACCCTCCATTCGTGCCTCTTCAAATTCTGCAGCACTGCTGGTCACAGCTGACCTCAGCTGGAGCGCTCAAGGGCCAGGGCTTCCCAGTTCTCAGTGTCTATGCCAGAGTTTTTGAGGTTGGCTTTGAGCCCATCTTTAAATCTCTTTTCCTGCCCACCAACATTCCATTTTCCGTTCTTGAGTTCGGAGTAGAGCAACTGCTTTGGGAGACGGTGGTCGGGCATCCGGACAACGTGGCCGGCCCAGCAGAGTTGAGTCCACACACACACACACACACATCTCTTGTTAGCATAAACCTCCAGCGGAGTCAGCACATGGTTGCTCACAGTGAATATTATTGGAACTCTAAAATACCCTGGGACCAAACTATTAAGAGTGTGTATCCATCTCTCTTTATTTGTTTCTTCTGTAGTCTCTCCCCCCCCCCTCATTATTCTTCTTGTTCCCATGTTTGACTTCTCCTTTTTTTTATTTTACTTCTATTATAGAGACCAAATGAAAGAATTAGCAACGTACCTGAAAGACCAAGGGAAGAACCAATAGTGTTGGATGAAACTCCGGTTAGTACATGTCAGTGCTGTGGATTTCCAACTCGAGATACTTTATGAGATTGAAACGAATGTGCCTCAAAATGTGAGGATTGATTGCCAGAAATCTCACCACTTTGTTGGGTCGAGGTGCAGACCTGGTGCACTCTTTTCTCAGAGGGGTGAAAGCAAACAGAGAAAATGTAATAGCTCAAAATATTGCTGTTTATATGAATGGGATAGGTGAGGAATAGACTCCATGTGTTTGCTGAAGCAATCAGAGTAATTAAAAAAATGAAAAGCGGCCACCTGAGTGATCAAATGAATGTATTCAATCCACTTACTAAGACTTCATATATTTGCATATCACTGAAGTCGTAGTTTTGAAGACAAAAGTAGACTTTGTTTTCAGGTGGTCCATATAAATGTCACAGCAAGCACCATCTTCGAAGAGACATTCTGTCTTACAGAAGATGAAATCCTCCTTTGAAATTATGTCTGCCATCTGCAGTTTCTTCAACTGTTGCCCAATTAAATGGGGGAACCAATTTTAGGTTGTTTTTTTTATAACAAAGGCTTTTAATTGATGTTTCTAACTGATTGATGAAAAACTGCAGCCAAACTTAAAAGGAAAGATGTAGATAACTCCATCAAAGCAATTTTTATTTATGTAGTCTTTTCTTCCCAAAACATAGTGAAACTGTCCCCATACTCTGCTACTGTGATACAGGGGTTTGGGGGCAAAATCATATTGTTTAGTTGTTGTTGGGTATGGCGAGGGAGAGAGACTATTTCCTTATTAAAAAACCTCTTTGCTGCCTTACACTGATTCAGTTTCTTCTTTTATATTGGCTGGGACTTTCTGTGTGCTGTTAAACCTTTGTACTTTATATCACAGGCAATGAAACACTTTTGTGTATAACAAAGTAACACAGTTTATTTATAACTTCTGGCTCCAACGCTTGTGGTTACATTTGTGTTTTGTTGCAGTCTTGAGGCTTACAGTCAGTATCATTTACTTGGTTAACTTTTCTGAATAAACTATCAATGTTTCACATTCACAAACATGTTACTTGCTTTACACACTCTTGGCTGAATTATATTCTGAACTAAGGCAACACTAGCCTTCTTTATGTTCCTTAAAACTCGAGCTCTATTTATCTAACTTCTTCTCGATATCAGAAGTCTTTAACATATCTTCATGACTGCTTATTTCTATCAGGCACTCAAAAACCAACTCTCATCTTCACACACAGATTCCTAACTTTCATTTTCAAACTCCCTCACTCTAACTGCCTCTTTCAGAACCTTGGCTCCGCCCCTTTGGAATGTTCAGCTCTGCTCTCCCCAACTGTCATTTTGGCCCAGCAGCCTTTTCAAATCCTGGGCCTACACTAATCTGCATATGACCAATCGACTTCACATATGCAAATGAATCCCATCTCTGCTGTTGCTACCCTGTCTGTGCCTATTCTTCCCTATCTGCCATATGTAAACATAGATCTATACACCAAAACTTTAATATAGAGTAGCAATTTCACTACATTGGGTCTTTTTGTGGGAGCAAGTGTGGCTCTCCAAGATCTCATGTGGACTAATGTGGTCTTGCAGGTATCCACAGTTGGTTATCCATGGTTTATCGCCCTCTTCCATTGTCTCAAATGTTTTACCTGTGCAGAAGGTCCAGTAGGTAATTTCTCTTGTACCTCTTTATTATTTTTGAGTAGGTACAGGAAGCCTCCCCTTCTCCCCCAACACAAGTCGTGAGCGACGTCACGTTTGAGGTGGGAGATCTTGTCTGGTCCAAAGTGGGGACGTATCCATGGTGGCCCTGTATGGTTTCAAGAGACCCACAACTTGAGGTTCATACCAAAATCAACACAAGAGGTAAGAGAGTAAGAATTCTGAGTACAGCTTACTGGTGACCTTTGCAGCCCGAAAGACAGTTGCATCTGTCAAGTAGGATATTTAGGTACTGCCTATGTAGGGAGGCTAATTTAACTAATTTATGATGCCATAAAAATATCCAGCAAGCCTGCAAAGAATGAGGAAGTACTTCATCAGTGTCACAAATGGATGGTGAAAGGACAGCTCCCCTGGTGGTCAAAATACCCTCATGAAAAGTTGGAATGTTAAATTGCCTCTGTGTCTGTCTATATATGTTGTGTGTAGTCTTCTTGAATGTTTGCCATGCATATGTACATTGTAATCCGCCCTGAGTCCCCTGCGGGGTGTGAAGGGCGGAATATATATACTATAAATAAATAAATAAATAAATAATAACAATAAGAATAGAATAATAAATGTAATAATAATAGAGTAAAATAATAAATGCAATAACAATAATAAATAGAGTAAAATAATAAATGTAATAATAATAGAGGAAAAATGTAATAATAGTAATAATAAATAGAGAAAAATAATGGAAATATAATAGTAACAATAATAGAGTAAAATGATAAATGTAATAATAATAGTAATAAATATAGTAAAATAAATGTAACAAAATAATAATAATAGCAAAAAATAATTTAAATGTAATATTAATAATAATTGGAGTAAAACTATAAATGTAATAATAACAATAGAGCAAAATAATAAATAACTGACTCGAGTATAATCCAAGGGGTTTTTTTTTCAGCCTAAAAATGGGCTCAGTTTATACTTGAGTTTATACGGTAAGTGTGTCAAAAACTTGAACTGTTTGACGATTTTGTTAGCATTAGACTTAAACTCAGACTTAAACAGCTATCAGTAATATTTATTTATTTTAAATTATTTTTAAACCCAGAGAGGAGCCACCCCAACAATATCCAGATTGTGGGGTTGATCCCTAGAGGCAGTCTAGCCACAATGTCCAGCCTTATTTCCTGCCTCTTGAAGTCCACTCTAATCTTCAGTTGCTAGTTTGTAAGCCAGAAATAAATTGTTATGCCCAGATCAATCCCCTCACATACAGCTTGCATCCATAATAAAGATGCTAGAAATGTGATAGTTTAAAGTCATATTGGGATAGCATGAAGGCAGCTTGAATGACACCTGACAGAACTTCTCATCCAGACTTTCTCCATGCAGGGAAATAGGTCAACAGGTAGAGGAGGTGTTCCTTCAGGTGCCATCCAAATTGACTCCAAGCGTGCCTCTCCTGCACTTTCTCTGATCACCCTTTGAGTTGGCATCTGAAACATGAGCTGACCACTCCCCTTCTTTTCCTCCAGTTGGCAAAGTGAAAGGAGGAAGGAATCTGTCTTGAGTCATAATCTCGTGGCCGTGGCTCATAGAATCATAGAGTTGAAAGAGATGCCACGGACCATCCAGTCCAAGCCCTGGCCATGCAGGAAAATGACAATCAAAGCATCCCTGCAGATGGTCATTCAGTTTGACCTGATCTCTTTCTTCAAGGAGTTACATGATAATATCAGTGGCCATTTAGAGCATCATGCACATGGACATCATGCACTTGGACATGGTGCACTCTGAATTCATTCCACCCTTAGATGCATGCATGTTAAGTGTATAACTCACTGCTTTGTTGACAATATTCCTAGAATTGGGTAGAAATATCCTATGAGGCCTTGTTCTTGTACAGTAACTCCTCCAGTTAAAGGATAAATGGAACAATTAGATTTTATTGTCTTGAAAGAGCGTGTGTGGGAGGGTATTTGTCTCAAAACACAAAGGGGGGTTTTGAGGAAAGGCATTCTAAGCAACCTATGCTGGACGGGGTTGCTCTCCCCCTGAAGTCGCAGGTCCGCAGTCTGGATGTCCTCGTGGACTCATCACTTATGCTTGAAGCTCAGGCGTCGGCAGTGACCGGGAGGGCCTTTGCACAATTAAGACTCGTGCGCCAGCTGCGACCATACCTCTTGAAGTCTGATCTGGCCAGGGTGGTCCACACCTTAGTCACCTCCAGATTGGATTACTGTAATGCACTCTACTTGGGGCTGCCCTTGAAAACGGCCCAGAAATTTCAATTGGTACATCGGGCGGCAGCCAGGTTCCTAACTGGAGCGACTTACAGGGAGCGGTCAACCCTCCTGTTTAAGGAGCTCCACTGGCTGCCATTCATTTTCCGGTCCCAATTCAAGGTGCAGGTTCTGACCTACAAAGCCCTGAATGGTTTGGGACCCGCCTACCTGCGTGACCGCATTTCTGTGTACGAACCCACATGATCTCTCCGTTCATCTGGGGAGGCCCTGCTCTCGCTCCCACCTCCTTCGCAGGCGCGATTGGTGGGGACAAGGGAGAGGAAACACTACAAAGAGCCAATACTCATTATTTTAAAAAATGAGAAAAAAAATGAAATTGTATCCCATTAATTGAAAAAAAAAGAAAAAGAAAATGTGTACAGTTTTATATACATTAACAGTGTACTTTTTTGCTGCCTTCTAGATTACTTCACAGTCACTTGCATAGGCTTAGCACAAATCTTTTTCTAGCTTCTGGCAGAGTCCTGCGATCCTGCGCTAAGAAATGCTCTGATAAAACTGCACTCCATTGCATTGGTCACAACATTCTATCCATGGTTGCCCCCCGACTCTGGAACTCACTCCCCAAGTATATCAGACAAACCCTCACATTGGCAGTCTTTAGGAGGAGCCTGAAAACGTGGCTGTTCCATTGTTCCTTCCCAGAATAAGGAAAACCCTCAGCAATATGCCCTCAAAATGCACTTTACCTTTGATTTGGGATTGATTGCGTTCCTTCATCTCTCTTTGAAAATTCTACCCCAGTTTTATCCTACCTTGTCCATGTCCAGCATTATTTTTAATTTTAACCTATTACATTTGGCCCGGCCATTGGTTTTAAATGCTTGTGTGTTACTGTTAATTTATTATTTATTTTTTGTTATGTGATTTATATTAATTGTATTGCTTTGATTGTTTTGTTATTGCTTTTGCTTATTGATGTCCTGTGGGCTTGGCCTCATGTAAACCACACCGAGTTCCTTCGGGAGTTGGTAGCGGAGTACAAATAAAGTTTTATTATTATTATTATTATTATTATAAGCAGAATTCTTCCTATCAATTTCAGGTGCCCGGGAATATCATGTTCAGTTCTTCAGCAACCAGCCTGAAAGGGCCTGGGTACATGAAAAGCGGGTACGAGAGTACAAAGGACGCAAACAGTATGATCAGTTGGTGGCAGAAGCTACGAAGCAAGCCAACCACTCCGAAAAACAAAAGGTGAGTGTGGTCTGAAATGGAGGTGGCTGTTGCGCCCCTTCAACACATTCCCAACTTCCAGAGACTCTTAAGACAGGGATCCGCAAACTTTTTACGCAGAGGGCCAGGTCACAGTCCCTCAAACTGTTGGAGGGCCAGATTATAATTTGAAAAAAGCATGAATGAATTCCTATGCACACTTAAAAACAATACAATAATTAAAATGAAGTACAATCTTTACAAGTATAAACTTATTAGTATTTCAATGGGAAGTGTAGGCCTGCTTTTGGGTGATGAGATAGGATGTTGTTGTTGTTATTGTGTGCTTTCAAGTCGTTTCAGACTTAGGTTGACCCTGAGCAAGGGCCGGGTAAATGACCTTGGAGGGCCGTATGGCCCCCGGGCCATAGTTTGAGAACCCCTGCTCTAAGGGAAATATATCACCATGTACCTGTATGTCTGAATTGTTGGAAATACCAACCTTCCAAGCTTTCACTATTTGTTTGTTTGTTTATTTATTTATTTATTTATCGTGTCAGTGCAGCCAGTCGATTATATTACATTTCTAACAGAACAAAGCAAAAAAACCAGAAAAATACAAAATTTGTGAGTTTGGTAGTTGATTCAATGTCCTTTGACCAGTCTCTGGCCCCTTGGAGTGCCTCTGGTGTTGCCGCAAGGAGGTCCTCCCTTGTGCATGTGGCAGGGCTCAGGTGCATTGCAGCAAGTGGTCAGTGGTTTGCTCTTCTCCACACTCGCATGTCGAGGATTCCACTTTGTAGCCCCATTTCTTGAGGTTGGCTCTGCATCTCGTGGTGCCAGAGCGCAGTCTGTTCAGCTTCCAAGTCGCCCAGTCTTCTGTATGCCCAGGAGGGAGTCTCTCATTTGGTATCAGCCATGGATTGAGGTTCTGGGTTTGAGCCTGCCACTTTTGGACTCTCGCTTGCTGAGATATGTTGAATTTGTTTGTTAACATACATATTTGCTAACCTGTATTGTATGTATATATTGATTTGCCAGTTTGACTGACCTCTTTGGTGTGAGTGTGACACATGTGTGTACTGAGCATGTTCAGATTCAAAACTCCATTTTGTTATCAGTATTTATTTGGACTTCAGAATTAACAGTTTGCTTAGACCTCAGTGGAGGTGGATGCACTATACTTTTGAACTTCAGTAGAATCAGATGTCTTTTGGACTTATGCAGGAACTGTTTGCCATATGTTTGCTTTGAGAAGCAGTGAGTACAGTTATACAGTTTGGACTTTCATAAGATGTATACTTAAAGACTTTGAACTATTGATTCAGAATGATGCCCTGTTTTCCTAACACAGAGAAACTACATCTTAACTCTTAACTGAACTTTAATAAGAAATGTGCCTGTATGCTAAATTCATACAAGTTGTTTGTGAGTAAACAAGATATGTTATGGGTTATTGTGTAAGTTTTTTGGGCTGTATGGCCATGTTCCAAAAGCTTTCTCTCCTAATGTTTGGAACATGGCCATACAGCCTGAAAAACTTACAACAACGCAGTGATTCCGGCTATGAAAGTCTTCGACAATAAAAGATATGCTATTTTGAAATAAGGTTTTGTTTTTGTCTCTGAGTGCATATTTTGAAACTAAGAAGTTTCAAAAGAGAGTGTATGTTTTTGGCAACTGCAATTTCAACCTCAAAGAAACATTTTAAATCTCCACTAGGCAAATATATGTTTTTTGTGCAGTGGCATGCCTTTGTCCCTGGCAGTTCGAAGACATGGTTTAACAGCTGAGTTACTTTGTGCCATTGCATGAGTGCTTGTGAACATCACTTTTTTAAAGGGTTAACTTCTATCAAGGTCATGCCTTTTCAAAAGGTGGTCTCCAGATGTTCATGGAAATTCACATTTGCCAAAAGGATATGACTTCATTTTTTTCTTTTTCAAAAAGGATATGAATGCCATTCTTTTCCAAAATGAATACACACAAGAGCTGTTTGTCTGTTTTTCGCCTCCCCAAACTATTTTTTAAAGCAGTCTGCCTAACCCTAAGCAGTATACTTAGGAGCCCCCCTGTGCCCCCTGTGCCGGCAGGTTCGAATCCGGGGAGAGGCGGATGAGCTCCCTCTATCAGCTCCAGCTCCTCATGCAGGGACATGAGAGAAGCCTCCCGCAAGGATGATAATAACATCAAATCATCCAGGCGTCCCCTGGGAAACGTCCTTGCAGATAGCCAATTCTCTCACACCAGAAATGACTTGCAGTTTCTCAAGTTGCTCCTGACACGACCAAAAAAAAAGTATACTTTCTTTCAGTTTTATAAAGTGTCTTCTGTTCATGAATTTTCAGCCTAAATGTTATTTAAAATACAGTGTGATCGTTTGCATGGTTTGTATTGTCCGCTAAAATTGGGAGCTGAGAAAGGGGATTTGTGGTTCGAATTCTTTATGCCAACTAATCAGAGACAGTGGCAGAATGTTACAGATATCGGCATGGAATACATTCTGAATTCTGTTGACTTTTTCCTTTTAATGTTTCACATGTTTCTTCTGTGTTCCCAAAAGCTCTGAGAGATTCAGAATAGATACTATAGTGGTATTTTCAAAACAGAGAAATGCTTTAAAACAATGGTTGTATACAAATATTTTGTTACTCTTTGTTGTAGAATAATAATAATAA